TCTTAGAACTCAAGAGGCTATAACAGGAGCATTACAAGTTTGAATCTAGCCTGAGCTACATGGCAAGAAACTGTCCAAAACAGCAAGGACAACAAAGGAGACCTCCAAGTTCAGCCCATACTTCCAGTGACAGTGTTCAGAGAGCCGAGATCTCTGCCTCTGCCTGCCAATTATTCTGCTCTGTGCAAGAAGCTGTGAGTCCAAGCCGCCAGCAGAGGTAACCTGCAAGGCCTCTGGCATGGTCCTCACATGTCATGCGAAGGGCTGCAGCCTGGCTTCCAGGGATGAATGGCAGAATCCACAGGACCCTGTAGCAGTGTCACAGACCTTTCTAATAACCTGAATTTCCAGAAGGAAGACAGTAAGTTGAGGTCTGCTAGCTCTTATTTCAAGGATGGCTTTTTCTCAGATTCGGTAATTTTTGCATGTACACAATGATAGAGGACCCAAATCTAAATGCAAAGCTCATTTGTTTCATATACACCTCATACATATAGCTTGAAGGGGATATTATGCAATTTTGAAATTAATTCTATTCATGAAACAGTAGCTTTATGTGGACTTTCCTACTTCTATTATGCCAGTGCTCAAAACTTTCAGGTTTTAGAGCATTTCAGGTGTCACATTTGGGGTTAGGGATACTTATTCTGTGACAGGAAGCTAAGAAAGGCACTTAGTGTGAGCCCTGGATGTACGGAGGTACTGTGTGATTCTGTTCTCAGGACATCACTGTGGTACCAGTGACATTGTGACATTAGAAGGTGCTTTTTCCACCTATTGGTGAAATGCCAGGGAAGCACCTGAAGATCCAGAGCGCCTGGCGCTGAGTAAGCAAATCTCTTGACCTGAGCAGCAGCAGAGCGGCTGACATCAAAGCTGAGCAGATGAAAACACTTCTGGTTCCAAAGGTTTTGCTCATCAGCAAGTGACAGGAGCAGCTCTTAAGAGCAGGGCAAGCCTTCCCCTGGGCACTGTTATCTGAAAAGGAAGCCTTAGGGAATCTTCCAGGATGTCTCTGTTCTCACTCAGTTCTTCCTAGCCCAAGAGCCACACTGGAAGGAAGCAGGAAAGAGGAGTGACTCTTACAGCTCTAATGAGGAACTTGGTAGGGAGTGACATCTTCTTTCTCCTATCTCATCCCTGGGCCAGTACACTTGGTGCAGCCTGAGGCCCACTGTGCCTGTGGACAGACTTCTATCTTCCTGAAACCCATCCCCCTTCTACTTCTTATCATGAACCTTCCCCTAGGCCTCCTCTCCTGGTGGAGTAACAGAATGGCCAGCACCCCCACCCCACTTCCAGGTACTCAATCAATGTGGTGGAACGCAAGAACCATGTTTGTCCAAAATCTGGGATATTTGTCATAGTAATAAAAAGCTTAGGAACTTGGTGTCCAGTGTGCTGAACTACCAAATATCAGTGATAATAATGGTGATGAATGCATAAAGTTTCTCAGTGCCAGACACCTTTCTTGTTGTAATTGTCATATTTTTGTTGTTGTTGTTTCTGGTATAGTGTAGGGCCTCATGTACTCAGGTTGGTCTTGAAATCACTGTGCAGTATAGGTTGGCCTTGAACCTTTGATCTTCCTGTTTCTACTCTCCAAATGCTGGGATTACAGATATGTGCCACCATGCCCACAATGTCAGGCACTTCTAACTGTTTCAGTATGTCAAACTGCTTGGATCACACAGCAGCATATTGGAGAGAGGGCTAAAATGATTCCCATTTATGTAGGAGGGTGACATGGCTCAGACAGGTTGGCTGACTTGCCCAAGGTGAAGCCAGTGAAGCCAGGTCTCAGAGTAATACAATGCCATGTGTGTTCTTGAAACACCCAGAAATTGCACAGGCTTCACCTCTCATCCAGCACCATCAGTAGAAGCAGAACTTCAGTCTCAGGATTTGATTCTGGACTTGAGGAACATAAGCCTTTAGCAGACCTCATATTCATTTCTTGTGTTCATATGACCAAATGACAACAAGTTAATAAAAAACAAGTTACACTGGAAAAGATTTCGTTTTCATTTCTTTGAGGGATCTAAGTCCATAGTTCTTGTTCCATTGATTCTGTGTTGAGATAGAATGTCATGGCATTTGGAGCATGAGGTAAAGCCTACTCACTCCATAGCAAGCAGGAAGTAGAGGGACAGGAAAAGACAGGAATCCAGTTATGGCCTTCAACGACACACACACCACATCACTACCACCATCACCTATGCTAGAAAGATGGCTCACTTGTTAAGAACATTGGCTGCTCTTTTGAAGGACCTTTACTCTATTCTTAGCTCCTACATGGCAGCTCACAACCATCTGTAACTCCAGTTCCCAGGGATCTGACACTCTCTTCTGGCTTTTGCAAGGTACCAGGCAAACATGTAATGCAAACATAAGTGCAACCAAACACCCGTAAACATGAAATTATAAAAAAACTAAAAAGATTCCCCCCAGAGCCCTACTTCCTTAAACTAGGTTCTGCCTCCCAAAGTTCCCACCACCTGCAAAGTGGTGTCACCACCAAGGGGGCCCCAGCCTGTGTCAGGCATTTCACAATAGAATCATGTTTCCCAACTTCCTGCTTTGCATCCATGGGAGATTTGGTCATTGCTGCAGTGCTGTATTGTGGGCAGGGCCTCTTGGCATCAAGTAAAGCTCACTTCAGTGGAATAACTTTTAAAAGCCATGATGGCCCCACCAGTCCTGGAACCTCACTCTTGATTCATGCTCAGAGCCTGAGGCACAGGGGTAAGGAAGTAAAAAGTACCAGGAGAGAATCTTAGGGGAAGAATTGAAAAGATTCCAAAAGTTCACTGGAGGACCACAGGAAAGACTTTTCTAGGAAGACAGGGTGTTGAAGGTTCAGTTGAATGTTCAGCAGAGGAGGAGGGTCCCGAAGGTGGGACAGTTATCCAACATCCTCTACCTGGGACCAGAATTGACCTGCAGAAGGGTCATTTAAAAGTCTCTCCTGGAATCCAGTTGCAGAGAAGGAGGAATGATAAGAAAAGGGATCAGGACCAGGTTACAACAATCCACAGAAACAGCTGACCTGAACAAGGAGGAGCTCATGGACCTCTGGATCGATAACTGGGAAACCAGCATTGTACTGACTCAGACCCCGTGAACATGGGTCTCAGTTAGAAGGCCTGGGCAGTCTAAGGGGCCTCTGACAGTAGAACCAGGATGTAATCCTGGTGCACAAAAGGACTTTGGGAGCACATTCCCCATGGAGGGATACTCCCTTAACCTAGAAGCAGGAGGGAGGGCCTAGACCCTACTCCAAATAACTTGACAGATTTTGTTGATCCCTTCTGGAAGATATCACCCTCCCTGTGGAGTGGGGGGGGATACGGAGGGGGTGTCAGGGGGCATGGGCAGGAGGGAGGGAGAGGGATCAATATGTAAAATAAGAAATATATATATGTACATATATATATATATATATATATATATATATATATATCCAGAGTCCAGAATTATAAGAAGAACACAGTACTTCTTTCCCTAAACATTTGCCTCACTCTTTCCCTTTCTAAGAGTTCAGGTCCCGCAGGTCCCACATGGAGACAATGATAGGAATAGGACCAAAGGAAAAGCAGACACATTTAAGGAGTGATCACAAAAGGGGTGAAGGACTGTGTGGCCACATATCAGTTCATTTGGGTGAGCGAAGCCAGAGACAAGGTTGGAAGCCAGCTCCTCTGTTGCCCAGTATTAGCCAGAGACAAGGTTGGAGGCCAGCTCCTCTGTTGCCCAATATTAACCACATCTATGCCCTAAGCCCAATCCCAAATCACAGCAACAGTCTCCAGCCCTCCAGCCCTCCCACTAAGGACCACCTCTGGTGGTCCTGAAGCATTTGACTCCAACTCCTGTACAACTGTCCCAACCATTCAGCACAGGACCAGGGAGCTCCCTCCTCCCCAGGCAAACAGGAAGTCACTTTACCTCCTGATCCATTCATGGAGAATAAACTGCCTCATGCTCTTTTGGGGAGGGGGGGGGGTGAGGTCTTCTCTGAGACCCTGTATTAGCAGTTTGACCAGGGCTGAAGAGGAGGGCTGCCTGCTGACAGTCTAGCAGTGAGATTGCTCTAGAGTTTAGAAGCAGGGGAAAACCCAGGCTGGGATGGGAAGCCATCTTTCCTGGCCACCTCCTCATTGTGGCAGGACACCGCCATGGGTGAGTGCAAGTGGAGAGTTATCAGGCCTCTTCACCAGTGAATTCTACCTACTCTCTAAGTACCTGAGAGATGGAGGTTACTTTGTTTTTCTAAAAGTTAAAAAAAATAGTATGTATTTATGTGAGGCAGGTGTATGCATTCCACAGTAGGAAGTGAAGGTCAAATTTCTCTTCTTGCATGTCCCAGGGATGGGATTCAGGCATTCAGACTCTGGCACAAGCATTTTTATCCTTGAGCCATCTCACCTGCCCAAGGTTAGTTTTCTTTGGGAGTCATCTTTAGTTCTCCAAATACCTCTCCATTTCCTGAGGACCTTAATTCCACGCAGATTCAACTTAAAAATTCAGTGGGGCCAGTTTTGTAGCACACACACACACACACACACACACAGAGAGAGAGAGAGAGAGAGAGAGAGAGAGAGAGAGAGAGAGAGAGAGAGAGAGAGACAATGCAACCCATACACACAGCCCAGAGCCACACCTCCACCTCTGATGGACCTGGGAATCACCAAGATTTCCATAGGGAGCTTCAGTTTCCTTCATCCCTGGAGTGAGTTAAAGGATGATAAAGGCTTTAAAGGGACCAGGGAGGGATATTGGGTGCTAGGATGATGGCTCTGCAAGCTTGAAGTAATCTGGGACGACTAGGATACTTCAGTACCCAGAAAACTCCAGGTAGCTAGCAGGTCGTGGAGAACCAAGATCCCAAGGGAAGTGGATTTGAAGGACTGTGATGGAGATGTGATTTAGGGGCAAAGCAGGACTGGGAGTCAAGGAGAATTTCTTTGGGAGTGAAGGCGACGCTGGCAGAATGGCAGGGATGGTGCGAGCAGAGAAAGCCTGCCAGAAGCCCAGAGTTCTGCAGGCAGAGCAGACTGCACCTGAAGACTGGCTCGTGGAGGGAGGGGCTGCGCAGGGCGAACGGAGCTCCCGCGGCCGGGGGGCGCGCGGCAGCGCGGGGATTGGAGGGCGCTCGCGGGTCCCGCGCGCTTCTTAGGCGGAGCGGTGGAGCAGAGCTTGTGCGCACGACCCCAGCCCTTCGCTTGGTCCTCAGCAGAGCGCTCAGCTGCTCCACCGCGTTCCGCCGCCTGGGGTGAGCACCCCAAAGCATGAGCGTGCCCTCAACACTGCCCCCCGGGGGCGAGGACACCACCTGGACCCCCGGAACCAACGCCAGCAGCTCTCCGGACGACGAGGAGGATGCGGTGCGGTCCGACGGCACGGGGAAAGCGGGTATGGTCACCATCCAGTGCATATATGCTCTGGTGTGCCTGGTGGGCCTGGTGGGCAACGCCCTGGTCATCTTCGTGATCCTGCGCTATGCCAAGATGAAGACAGCCACCAACATCTACCTGCTCAACCTTGCGGTCGCTGATGAACTCTTCATGCTGAGCGTGCCATTCGTAGCCTCAGCGGCTGCCCTGCGCCACTGGCCCTTCGGTGCGGTGCTGTGCCGCGCAGTGCTTAGCGTGGACGGCCTTAACATGTTCACCAGTGTCTTCTGCCTCACCGTGCTCAGCGTGGACCGCTATGTGGCTGTAGTGCACCCTTTGCGCGCCGCCACCTACCGGCGGCCCAGCGTGGCCAAGTTAATCAACCTGGGAGTATGGCTAGCATCCTTGCTGGTCACACTGCCCATTGCAGTCTTTGCTGATACCAGGCCAGCTCGTGGGGGCGAGGCAGTGGCTTGTAACCTGCACTGGCCTCACCCAGCCTGGTCTGCGGTCTTCGTTATCTATACTTTTTTGTTGGGTTTCCTACTCCCAGTTCTGGCCATTGGTCTATGCTACCTGCTTATTGTGGGCAAAATGCGTGCAGTGGCCCTGCGGGCTGGTTGGCAACAACGGAGACGCTCAGAGAAAAAGATCACGAGGCTTGTGCTGATGGTGGTGACCGTCTTTGTGCTGTGCTGGATGCCCTTTTATGTGGTGCAGCTTCTGAATCTGTTTGTCACCAGTCTTGATGCCACGGTCAACCATGTGTCCCTCATCCTCAGCTATGCCAACAGCTGTGCCAACCCCATTCTCTATGGCTTCCTCTCTGACAACTTCCGGCGCTCTTTCCAGCGGGTTCTGTGCCTGCGCTGCTGTCTCCTGGAAACGACTGGAGGTGCCGAGGAAGAGCCCCTGGACTATTATGCCACTGCTCTCAAAAGCAGAGGGGGCCCAGGATGTATATGCCCTCCACTGCCCTGCCAGCAGGAGCCCATGCAAGCAGAGCCTGGCTGCAAGCAAGTCCCTTTCACCAAGACTACTACTTTCTGAAAACCATCTCACCCTCCCTCAGCTCACCTGCAAGCAGGTCACACCACCTTCTCGGCTCAGCAACTTCAAGAACATCTTGTTTCACTAAGCCAGCCCCTTTCTGTTCTGTCACCAGGAGCCTCAGGACTCCTAGAGCCCCTCTCTTAAGACTGGTTTCAAGACACCTCTATGGGGGTAGGACTCCTCTGGGAACTGGGTTAGAGTACCAGCCATTCCTGAACCTCTGGCAACTTTTCATGGGGTGAGAAACAGGAGGTGGTCAGAAAGGAATGCCTACCCTTGTGTGACAGTGATCGCTTGGAAGAGCCCTGGGAGGTAGGCAGAGCCCCTTCTCCCTGCAGGCTCTTTACCTTATGGTAGTAGGGTAGTTGTACATGGTGAGACAGGAGAATGTAGCATACCTCCAAGTGCTTTCCCTCTGTGTCTCGTTGAAACTCTCCTTGCTGAGTGAGAGGTCTGTACAAATCTGAGTGCACTTGCTTTGCCACCCTACAAGTGTCTCTCAGTTGTCAAGAGACCAGTAGCAGACTTCCTGTGAATGAAAAGGTTTATAGAAATATGATGTGGGGGTTGTTGCAAAGCATAAAACTTCTGGTCAGGAATTGAAAGGCAAAAAGGATAAAAATCTCATCGGCTGCAATTTTTTTTTTCCCACCTCTTTCCCTGGCTACAGCAATAGGAAGCTTCATTAAAGCCCATGTTATGCTATGCTGGGCGGGTGTCAGGAAAAGACCAGAGAACTAGGGTGGAGGGGAAACAGACTGTGTTTTGACACCAGATGCTGACCACAGTGAAAGGCCATCCCTGTGGTAAGCTAACCACAGCTCCAGTGGTCTTTCCCCTGAGAAAGATTCACAGCCTGTGAGAGCTTTACTTCTGCTAAAATAGGGTTGGGGGAAAATACTGCATCTGAGTAAGGAGTGGCTGATTGCAGATCTATACATTAGAAGATCTGCTGAGTTCCCTGACCCTACTGGAACAGTGCAGGAGATAGTCAGCTGGGCAGTTCCCAGGGCTGCCTGGCAGGGAAGGGTGGTCTTTAAAAGAAAACACCTGGATTCTATTATCCTGAAGACCATACCTCTGTGTGTCCTAGGACAGTCAGCCTAAGTTCTGACTATTGAGAGGCTAATAAAAATCCAGACTGGCCCAAGAGGCAGGGTAAGGCCAAAAGAAACGTCCTGCCACCACATGGGTTACAAGTGCATCTCTGAGAGCCTGGGAGAAGCAGGAGGTGACCCTTTCTGGGCTGCTTGCCCAGAGTCATGACTTGTGTGACAGTAGCAGTGCCTGGTATGTGGGAAATGGACAAGAGAGCTGAATTCTGGCTCCAGGCACAAATGTCTTAGAGCCCAAGCAGGACATTCAGGCCAGGTCTTCAGGATTCTTGCCTGGAAAAATCAACAGGTCCTTGCTTGTAGTGCGGTGACTCTTTTGTTGTTCCTGTGTTTTTGTTGCTTTGCTGTTTTGCTATTGCTGCTGTTGTTTGAGACATGATCTCATGTAACACCAGACAGACATGAATTCACTTTGTAGTAGCTAAGGATGGCCGTGAACTTCTGATCCTTCTACTTCTAACTCCTGAGTGTTGGGATTACAGTGTGCAATACCATGCCCATTTTATATGCAGTGTAAGGAATAGAACTCGGAGCCTCATGTTGGCTAGGCAGGCACTCTACCAACTGAGCTACATCTCCAGCCCCACGTGGTGACTTACAGGGCTAAATTTATGCATTTTTTTTTTTACTGGAAATTCCAGCTTCTTCACTAACAATAGAAAAGATAAAACCCTATGTTGAGTGTCTGGGTGTATAACTGTAGGATTCTTACCTTCTCCAAATGCAGCTAGCTAGATGGCCTATGAATAACAATTAATGTTGATTGTGGGTGTATCATAGGGTTATGTAGGAGGATGTGGAAGTCACCAGGGTCTGCTAATCACTTAAGTTCACTTACCCCTGAGAGAACTGCATTACCAGACCTCTTCTGTATCCAAGTCCATGGCTGTGGATTGGAAATCCCTAAATAGAGCACTGACCACTTTGGTTTACCAGCATGAATACCTACATGTTCACACACATGCACATACCATTTCTAACTGGTCATCACTTCCCAGACTACCCCTGGGCATCCAGAACAAGTCAGGCAGTCCCAGATCTATGGGCCTTATGTAAATAATAGCAACTTCTTGCAAGCCATTAAAATTAAATTGTTTCTTTCTCTGTCCCTGATGCCTGGCAGAATTGACAACCTGATAAATATGCTTAAACTTCACTGACAGGATCTCCTCATGGGAACTTTTGGCCTTAGCAATGGTTGCAGTGGACAAATGTAGTAGGCCTTTGCCTAGTTTGAAGGGGTCTGGAGTTCCTCTTTTCAGCCTTCTAATGACCCACACTGGCCCTAAAACATGCTTGTTTTCCTGGAGGAAAAAACTAATTCCATTTTTTTAAATAAAACCTTGTAATGAGGGTGAATGGTGGCTGAGGGGCCAATACCTTCAAGCTGGAGAGTCACCAATGGCAACAGAAAGCATCAGCTTTAGCTAGCTCATTAGCAAGACTTTCAGCTCTCCAGTCTCAGTTTCCCACTCTTAATAGATGCACAAAAAGAAAGTTTGAGTTCCAAGCTTTCTCTATTCTCTGTGTTACCACAGAATCTGGACATGAATCCCAACAAATCTGAACCTTGTAACACTTGCCTGATAGATTGTACGTGGTGAATCACCTCCATTTCTCACCCTCTTAGCCTGAGAACATGACAGTACAGTCTTAAAATTCTGTGAGCACAGATGTCAGGATTCTGTGGCTGTGTTTGCTGAAACAACTCTACTGTGTTAATCATCACTATGCCCCAAAACTCTGCTCTGTGGGTCTATGTGCTGGGAGATGTATTCAGTGATGGTTGCTGAGGGTGTCTCTCAGTGATGCAACCAGCTTCCAGACAACATGGTGAATCTGCATAGTGTGGAACTTGGAAATGATTGGTAAAGATGGGCATTAATCAGATAACCATATAAATAAAAGTATAACTCAATTCTGAGCTAAAATAAGAATCATGTCATAGCTGGAGATACAGCTCAATGGTTAAAGTGTTTGCTTAGCATGTGCCAGGCTCTGGCTTTAATTCCCAGCAGCAGCAGAACACACACACACACACACACACACACACACACACACACACACACACACACACTATTCAAAAGAGGAATTTGGATCCCAGGAGCTAATACAATAGAGTCACCCTGTTCCAGGTATTCCTGGGACACTGAGGAGGAGGAGGTGGTGTGGAGGCTTCTCTGTGTGTTGTTATTCAAATTAGCCTTCCTTTAGTCATTTTGTGCAGGCAGTGATTTCTCTTCTATTTTGATGAAAGCATTATTTGCATAAGGTGAAATCCACCCCTTCCACCAGTGCTGTCCCATGACAGTTCTGAAGTTGACACACCAATCAAGAGCATCATGGTTTCCATTCTCATGGCTCTCTCTGTAATCTGTAACCTACTGAGGTGGACCACAGGGAAAACAAGAAGCATGCAAAATCACAATGAGGCGCTCCCAAAATCTTTGGGTGCTGCCCCCATTATGCCAGCCCTGGGTTCCTCCTACTACCAGGGAGAGACCTAAGCAGCTGCAGCCTGCCCTTCAGTCCTCAACCTGGGAGGAGTATCCTGTACTTCAGAAGCCTCTTTAACAAATGGGGACTTGGAATAAGTTGCAAATTCCCTATGGACCTTGTAACCTTTGAAACACTGGAGGAGGAATGTGGCTTCCTTCCAGGCCAGGAATCCATGCTCCCTTCCTGGAAGAACAGTGAAGGTATTCCTCTAGACTCTGCCTATGCTACAGTCTGCCACTGCCTTCTAACTGCTCACCTGAAGACAACCTTGCTAGGTTTATATCACTAGGTTATAGCTTCTTATTTAAGTTGGCTTCTCGTGCTTTCAAAGGCCAGGAATGCAGAGTCTCACTCTAGCCCATCTGACCAGACTTCAGTTTCTTTTGCTGCTGGGTTAGATTTCTGCAGAACCACTTTTAAGAGGGATGGTGAAAACACAGATGGCAGTTAAAAGTCTGCAAAGAATCCTGAGTGTTTGTGTTTGTGAGGGTCTACCTGCCCACCACCAATTAAACTTGCTTCGGGAGAACAGAGCAAAGAATAAGGTCAAATTAGCATGTGAAAGAAGCTAGTTGACTGAAGGGAAGACTGTTAACCCCTTCCCACCAAGGCCAAGGTGTAACAAATAGAGCCTGTGCAAAAAGGGGGGGGGGGCATTCTATAAAGGTTCCTTCCAATCTCTGAGACCAGACATGGGTATCATTGAGCTACGACCTTTCTCCCAGCCCTGGCTCACTTCCTCCCCTGGAAGTGCTTTCTTCCTTAATAAACTTGTTTGCTTCTACCACTGTTTGTGTGTCCCTGTCAACTTTCTCATTGTGAGACACAAGAACCTGAAAGCTTCAGTGAATGTTCACTGGGTTTCTGTATCTTCTAATAGCATCAACAAATGTCTTTAAATGGAAAGACAGGGACTGCTGTTAGGAGAGTAATAGTGCCTGGGTCTGTGGAAGGTGAAGTCTTTTCTCAAGGTAACTAAAACCCAAGCAGAGCAACAGAGGTAGAAGAATGAAGGTGGCCAAAGAAAAGCTTCTCTCCTTCCCTCCTTCCCTCCCTCCCTCATCTCCCTCCCTCCCTCCTTCCCTCACCTCCCTTCCTTCCTCCTCTCCCTCCCTCCTCTCCCTCCCTCCCTCTTCCCCTCCCCTCCCACCTCTGAACAAGCTCATCCTGCTACACCAGCCAATTTTTGCAATTGAGGCCCCAGAGGCAGATGCCAAGGCCATGCCAGTGAGATGAGGCCTCCAAAGGAGGTATAGACAAGTAGCAGGGTTCTGCCACCATCCTGTAAGGTCCTGTATCAAAACAGATTTCTTTCAGGCAGAAGTTTGAAGAGAGACACTCCAGCCCATAATCTGAGTGGCACAACTGTTACAAGGCCAGCTTTGAATTCTGGTGCTTCCCCTTGGATCCCAGCAGCTCTCTGCTGGAACCACCTCCCCCCACCCCGCCCCCACCCCAGTAGGCCTGACTTGAAGGAACACATTCCATGGGCTCTTCTGTGTTTTGCAATCACATTTTCAAAACAGGGCGAAAAGCAGTTGAATTCTGTTAGAATATGATGTTAAAACAATATTTGGTTTTTTTGTGAGTGAAGAAATCAACTGTTTGCTTATATTCGGACCTGCTGACTAAGAGAAAAAGGAGGAAGAGCCCACTTGAAGCAAAAGAGGTGGTGTTGAGCCAAGCATTCACTCTGGAAAAGGAGAAAAAAAGGCAGATCTGGGTGTGGCCTGTGCCATTCTATGAAAATCAAGCAAAGGTCAGGAGATGGTGCTGGGTACCACCCTCTCAGAGCCTAACCACCATGATGTGTTTTGTGTTCTTTGTAAATTCGGTTTTCCTGCTATTGCAGTGTCTCTACTGGTTAGCCCATGAACACAAGTAGCATTAGAAATCCTGGCCTTGTCCACAGCATAGCCACCATTGCTCCCAGTGTCACCCACATAGGAGGCCAGAACCTCCTGAACTGGACTGAACTAGACTGGAGCCAGTTTCTCCTTCAGTCATCTGAGAGAATTTTCTCTCCTCTCTGTGATGTCACAAGAGTGGCAGAGGTCTCTGTGCCCCTCCACGTTGATGAGTTTTAGAAGTAGAAAGCTTGGATTTCCTAGCTACTATACAATCACTCTTGCCTGGCAAGCATCTCCCTCCTTAAACTATAACCAGTACCCCAATCCACCACCACAGTCCCCCAGGTCTGACAGTGCCCTTGCAAAGTGACTGTACATATATCCTTAAAGATCACTCTTTCTCTGCCTTGCATTTGCCACCATAGTGTTCTCATTCCAATGTAAATTTTTCTTTATTCATATATCTATTAACCCAATGGCTCACAGCCTTATAGTGAATAAGCATGTACTATGGGCCAGACACTGCTTGATCATCTTTTTATACCTCATTTAACCATATCGAGGTAGCACTTCTCTATCCCATTTTCAAATACTGAAGGGTGCCTGTGGTAATGTAAACCCAGATATCAGGTCAAATCAACATGTCTGAGATAGCCCCATCCCATATTAGCTCTGCTGGCTGCTTGCAGGACAAACTGCATGCTTCTCTTTTTAGGGACATACAGTCTAGAAGCTTCTATTCTTTTTCTGAACAATTTCCAATCTCAGCATGTTCCTGGGAAAGCATCCCAGGGTGGCCTGCAACAGTAAGGGTGTTCCCCTTCCTCTGGACTCCTGGCATCTTCCATCTGCTCCTGGTTGGGCTCACTTAGGTTCTCACAGATCATTGGGATTCATGATGAAATCTCCACCAGTGGATTCACAGTAAAATGCTTTGTTGCACAAGTGCAAAGACCTGAGTTAAGATCCCCAGACCCACATAAAAAAAGCCTGACATGGTGGTATTCACCTGCAACCCAGTCATACAGAGTAAGAGATCCTGAAGACAGTGAGATCCAGATTCAATGACAGGCCATCTCAATTAATTAATTAATTAATTAATTAAGGTGGAGAAGTAATTTAGGAAGACATCTCAATGTTAACTTCTGACCTCCACAAGTACCTACAGGGTTAAATACATATGCACCCAGCCATACCCCCAAATACACACACACACACACACACACACACACACACACACACACACACACACTGATGTCCCACAGTAACAGCCCAGGTTGATACCAAGAGTCTCTGCCCTACCCAAATGTCTAAAATTATCTGATATCTAAAATTAACTGTTTTCTTTCATGTTTGCCTCATGTAAATTTTCCTATTCCTACATGTAAAATTCAGAAAGCTACACCTTTCCACCAAAATGGCCCTAGTGATCACTGCCACAAAGGCAGTAGTGCCTATTGCTACCAACATCAATGAGGATTGTTGTATACCAAAGAAATGACCTTGGCACTCAGAAACAACACATGAATTCGAGCCATAGCCCACATCATGATCATTTTGTTTTAGATCTCAGAGAACAGAACAGGCAATGTTGAAGGAAGCACACACAGAAAAACACTCAGCTAGGAAGCTTAAGATGCCTCAGATCTTATAGTGTCTGAAAACATAGACATGAGGCATCCTGTACAAAGTTGTTATAGTTACACAAATAAAAGATACATATCTGAATGTACATAGATAAAATAAACTCTTTCTACATATAAAATAACTTCCTTTTGGAAGATATTTAAAGTCAGAGATTGTGCTATGAACAGGTGATAGGTTGCAAGCCAGCCTTTAATGCATCTCCCAGGGTGCTTTGTATGCATAAAATAAGGCATAAAAATGAGGGAAGAGGGGGAGAGAAAGGAAGGCAAGATACACCCAATAGTTCATTATACTCTGTTTATTTTGTACATGTGACATCATAAGCAAAGGCTTTGCCTGTGTTCTAGCTAAACCCCAATAAATAAATAACTATGTACAAATATGCTGAGCTTACAAAACAGTAAAGAAAAACCTTTCCTTACAAAAGATACACACATGATACATTTATTTCTTACACTGACATATGAGTTCACTCCTAGCACAGTTAAACCAAAACCCTTCCGGACCCTGTGTGGCAATAGCTAGAGATGTGTACCTAGTCATTTTCTTTTTTCCAGTCAGAAAGCAAAGCTAAGCAGTGAAAAATTCCTCAGTTTGTTGATAATAATTGGCCTAACATAGCCTGCTGCTTATTATTAACCAACATTTCATGTCCTCCAGAAACACAGAAACTTGTTAAAATGCAGCTTCTTGTGAAGGGGATGGGGTGGTGCACTTAGGATTTTGCAGTTTTAGCCAGATCCCAAGGGAGGTCCCAATTCTTGTGCACAGACCAGCGGCCAGGGCTACTCTGAAGTAGAATATATTGTCCAAGAGCCTCATTAAGATAAGACCCTAACCAGGCACCCTTTAGGCTCCATCCCCAAGTTCTCACAACTCCCTAAGCAGCACACTGCTTTTAGTTGGGTCTGTAAGAGGCCAAGTGCACTTCAAAGTCAGCTAGGCACAAAGCATGCAACTCAAAACTTTGCTGGAAAATGCTTCCATCTGTCAGTCTCAGATATGTCCAGCTTAAGGACCACATACATCCCAGGATAGTTATAAAGGTGGCCCAATACATCTGAAGATGGCAATGTTCTATTGCAACAACAAAATGTTAGGACTAAGGCTCATCTGAACATTTTCAACACTGCCAAAAATTAGTAACTATAGGAGCCTGTATAAAAAAAAGAGCTTAAAAATAATTACCATTTTGTTATTCTAAATCAAAACAACAGCAACAATGAAAAACATACAGAGGCTCACCTTTTCAACAATAAAGATGAAAACAAAACAAAACAACAACAAAAAACCCAACCTCCTTGAGTTTAATTTCTGTGACATTCCAGCATTATTAACTAGTGTTCAGCGGTAGCATTTTAACTTTCATTAAAATTATTTTGCTCTGGAAACCTGAAATTTCCAACTAAATTGCCAAAGCCAGTGAAAAAGATAACTTTTACTTTTAGTGTTTCTTTTCTGTTTCACATAAGAGTTTTGTCAGGAGAGAAGGGTAAAAGCAAAGTAAGATGAGGTTTGGGAAGGAGAATAGTGAGAAAGGGGAGGGAGAGAAATGGAGGTATACAGAGAAAGGGCAGGGACACAGACTGGAGATGTAGAGGCAAAGAAAAACCAAAGGAAGCAAATGCTAAATACTTTAAAAAAAAATAAATATCTGGTTTATCTCTAGCCTGTGTGGTCAAGGTTCGCTTAAAGGGTAGAGATAGCAGCGACTATACATCCTGCACCCTGAGGTGAGGGCCTGGGACACTATGCAGTCTGGTCTTCACTGTGTATTTGTCACCTCCGCCCAGTTGTCCAGTATCGACTTGGAAGAAGCTGGGCTCTCCTGCTTCAAATTCTCCTCACCCCTGCTTCTCATGAGGATGGAGCAGGGTCCTCTCTGGTTATCAGTTACTTTGTTAGCCAGGAGGTCTTTAAGTTGCCAGAGAGCACAGCTGGGAGGCTAGAGACAGAGAAAAGATGTACTGAACCAAGAGAATAAAGGCAACCTGGGTCTCTGGAGCAAAGTCCTTCAGAACTTCTGCAGCATTCCATCAGTCCTCACGTCCTGCAGTATGACCTCCTTGGCTGGTGATGCGCACTTGTACTCTAGCTCTGCTCGTGCAGCTGTCTGCTTCTTGCGCAGATGACAGAGAAGTGCCAAAAGCGCCACCACCAGGGACAGGCTGGCGATGGAGGTGCCAATGAGAATGCCAGAATGCACTGGCTTTGCTGAGGGCGGACCTGTGGGAGAGCTTGGCGTGGGACTAACTGGGGGCTCTCCAGAGCCATGGTCCTGGTTGTATTCAATAACAGGGATGGGGTCACAGTCCTTGCTAATCTGGCCAGCAAGGGCTGTGTCAGGCCCACATATGCACTCAAAGGAGCCAGGAAGATTTCGACACTCATTGCTGGCGCATTCGCCTTGACTGCATTCGTCGATGTCCTCACATATGGAACCTTCGTCTAGGATGAAGCCACCAGGGCAATGGCAAACGGTAGGAGTGTTAGGGTCACAGTCAGCTGGGCATGAACTTGCATTGCAGAACAATTCGCACCTATGCGGTTCCTTGGGTTTAGGTGCAAAGCCCTCAGCGCAGATGCAAAGGTACTCAGTGGAGCTCACTGGCTGGCACTGATATTCACAGTCAGATCCGAAGCACGGATCCAGGAGCTCCACACACTCTCCATCCACCAACTCAAAGCCATCATAGCAGAGACATTCAAAGCCGCCCTTGGTGTTGACACAGAGCTGTGGGCATGGATTTGGCCCCTGCGTACAGTCATCCACATCCTCACACCTGTGTTGGTCAGCCGCCAGCTGGTAGCCTGTCTCGCACATACAGGAGTATGAGCCTGGCACGTCGGGGTTGCTGATGCAAAAATGCTCGCAGAGGTCATTGCACGACAGCGCCACGGGTTTTGTGCATGAGCGACCATCTGCCTGCAGGTCGGTGTCGCTGGGGCAGAGGCATCTGGGCTCTCCCATGCTCTTGTTGCACAAGTACTCGCAGCCACCATTCTCCACCCTGCAGTCCCAGGCTCCTATTGCTTCCCGAGACCAGTGTCCACCTAAAGTTCCAGGCTGGGCCCTACACACTAGCTCCAAACCGAGGGACTCCACAATAGCGGAGCTGCCTACTGGCAGAGTCTGAAAGTCCGCACCACGGACTCCGAACGGCGTGCTGTAGATGCTGGAGATGTGGGCAGCCTCCGGATCTCGGGGATCCATCGCCAAAGGCCTGCAGGACGTTGTGAAGTGGAATTCACAGAGGAAACTGTCGGCTTCGGTCTCGCACTTCTGCTCCTCCCAGGCCGGCTCGCCGGGTGCAGTAGCTATTGCGGTGGAGACCATGACGCACAGCGGGCCGCAGAGAGGAGCCGCCTGGTCGCTGGGGCGCGCCCACCTGCTGTAACTAGTGTTGTTGTCGCCAGTAACCCATTGGAAGCCGCGCAGGGGCCCGAAATTACCCGGGTCGCCACAGCCCTGCGGGAGCTGTAAACCGATCCAGGGGCGTGAGTTCACGCTACTGTCGTCGCTCAGCAAAAGGGAGATGACATCGGCAGCCACTGAGGAGCGCACTGTCATTAGATGTCCTTGCAGGCTCTCACAGGCACGACTGGCAGCGAGGAAGTTCATGGGGCCCTGGAAAAGCGCAAAACACTCGTATTCCACGCATTGACTACCTCTGGATTGCAACTCGGTTAGTGCGGAGATCCCCAGGCCAGCTGGAGCCAGCACACCCAGAAGAAGAACCCCAAGCATGCTGTCCAGGGGTTCGCGTACAAGTTCCCGGAAAAATGCTAGTTGTGAGATGGTGCAGGCACCCAGCGCCCGGAGAGAGGGTTCAGACGCCTTGGGACACAGCAGCTAGCCTCTGTGGCCGCCTAGACGTTTCCAGCCCAGGCTCGTGGCCCCAGCGAGTCAGCCTCTGACATGCCACTCAGCTGCGGCTCCAGTTTATAACTGCGCGGCCCTCCCTCTCTGGACGTTCGGGAAAAGGAAGGAAGTGCTTTGGTGGGAAGGGCTGATGCTGCATTCTCGGATTACTGGGTTCTCCGGACGCCTTGCGCCCGCCCTCCAGCCTGGGATCACCTCTGCATGATGAGTAAAACTCGGCCAGGGCGCACGGAGGTCCTCGGGCGGGGCCCGAAGGCGCCACCAAAGAACAAAACCATGTCAGCAAGGCGACAGTTCCCGCCCCGGACACTCTGGTGTAGCCTATCTTTAAACTCCTACACACACACACACACACACACACACCACCCCCACCACCCCAACACACACCTTCTACATAGATGCTACCAGACTTTGAAGGGTGGTTTCGTTGGTAGGCTCTAGAAAGAAGAAACTTAAGAGTTGGGTAGAGAGTGTGTCTGAAACCTGTAGGGCACTGGGAGGGATTAGCAAACATCAAGATTGGTCCCCTGGAGGACTAGCTAGACCCAAGACCAGAGGCCAGGAAGCCTGGCTGTGGTGACAAACGGAAGGCGGGGTCCCAGAGAACTTTAGCCGGGGTTAGGGAAACAATTCCAGCAGCAAGAGAACTGGCCTAATAACCCCAGACTCCTCCTCTCCACTCTGACGACTAGCCGGCGATCACCAGTTTCTGGGGAGGTATCTCCGAGTCCAGGCCCTATCTGGTCGCATGAGAAAGTCTTGGGAGTGCTGTATAGGCTCAGAGATCCTGGGCTTCTTCCCCAGTATTATTCCTACCGTCGGGGTGGGCGGAGGTGAGGGGGACCCGGAGTATGTAGCGTTCCTTTGCTCTAGTGTTTTATTTTGTTTACTCCAAGCCCTTCCCGCTCCCCTCAACGAAACTAGCTGGGATCCGCCACAAGGAGGCGGTGTGAGTTACAATGGGGCTCACTTGGTTTCTTTTGAGGTGATGATTTTCTCAAGAGGCTCAAAAGATAGAGGTCCGCTCACATTCCATTTACTCACAAAAGGCATTCAAGAGGAGGGGTCCTGTGAGCAGGATGCCGGTCACTGGGAGGGGCGGATGGGAGTCTATAACTTAGAACTTTTATCCGCTTAAGAAAGCACGCGCGCGCGCGCGCGCACACACACACACACACACACACTCCTACCTTCTACGGCCGACACTTCCACCCCACTGCCAGGAGGCGGCGCTGTTGAACTCTAGATTAATCCAATCGCCTGAGGGTAGGAAGTTAGGCTGTGGGAAGCCCTGCATAGTCTCCTCTGCTTACATGTATGAATCTAGCTTTGCTGGTCCAGTAGATTGTGGTGTGCTCATCTCATGTGGGACAAAAAAAACATGCACAGATGGACACGTGACCAAGAGGATAGGGTGAGAGCACCAAGACTGTGAAAGAAAGGAAGCTGGTGGGACATCCTCCATCTACTTACCCACATGGACCTCTGCCAAGCCAGAGCTGGGACCTGCAGAATCCATCATCCCATCCCGTATGCTTAACTTTTCTTTATTGGGTCAAAGCTTCCTCAACTATCAGTCATGAAAACTTTAGAGCTGAGAATAGATGCCAAACTTTTAAGCTCTGGGAATCACTACAGCTACATGGGTTCTGGGAAAGAAAAGATCAGCCAGGGATTGGACAATGAAGATGGCCTCTGGAGAAGGAGGTGAACTTCTGGTGTGAGATGGGACCTCTAGGAGCATTATCCCAATGTAAAGACATTCTCTAGGTAGAAGACACTAGGGGATAGACTATCTGCTCTGTCTAAAGAGTGTGAACTGGGGACCTCATTTGAGCACTAGTATTTCAGCTGTGACAACACAGCATTAAGGTGGTTACCATCCTGAACAGGGACTTCTGAACATGCCAGCTGTCTTAATTAAGGCTTTTATTGCTGTGATAAGTCACCATGACCAAAAGCACCTTGGGGAGGAAAGGGTTTATTTTATCTTACAGTTTACAGTCTATTATAATTCAGAGGAGTTAGGGCAGGAACCTAAGAGCAAGAATTGATATAGAGGCCATAGATGAAAGCTGCTTACTGGCTTGCTCCTCGTGGCTTGCTCAGTTTGCTTCTTATATCACCCAGGAGCACCAGCCCAAGGATGGCACTGCCCACAAAGAGATGGACCCTCCCACATCAGTCATCAGTCAAGGCCTACCTAGTGGAGGGAGAGACTCTCTCCTCCCAAACGACTCCAGCTTGTGCCACATTGGCACAGAACTAGCCAACACAGCAGGCCTGAATATGATCAAAAGCTGGTTAGAGTCTTAGGGATTTTAGCTGATTCACTGCCATCTTTGGGGGATGCTGTATGACTAAACTTTTCCTGGGAAGGTGCAACACATGTGTCTACTTATCCTAGGTAGAGAACCCATGACAAACCAAGGGACCGATACCAACAAAGTCCCACTTGGTCAGCCAATGTGTAGGAGAAACTGTGGCCCTGGTACCCAGGCCAGCCTTCATGAGTATGCATGACAGTCACTTCCTCCCTGAGCCAAGCCTGCCTCTATGCTCAGAGACTGCTGATAGAGACACACCTGACCCAGGGACACCAATGAGCAGTCTGCAGGCTGTGCAATGTGCTCCAGGTTCACACCTCACATATTCTGAGGTGGGCTTTTGCCTTTGAGTGCCATTGCCTTTGAGTCACTTCTAAATAACCCCTCACCCATATTCCTGCAAGTGGCACCAATTGTTGCTAGTTACCCTGCTTGGACACCCCTTGGGGGAGGGGGTGAGAAGATGCAGCACCAATGACTCAAGCACTGGGAGTCAGTGAGTAGCAGAGCTTGCTGGATATGGTATTGAGCTCTCCTACCCATCATCACTCTACCTAAGCCCTAAGCACACACTCCAGTGCCTTCCAAGGTTTCCCCTCAGCCACTGCAATGCTGAAAGGTCTTCTGCGTGTTTTAAACTGCCTCCCATTGAATTAAGGTCTCCAGTCCTCTGTTCTTGGTGGTCCCTAGTTTCCTATCTGTATTTCCTTCTCATCTCGTGTATGACACATCCACCTCCCTCTCCTTGGCCTGTTACTCACTTTTCCAACTCCAATGATACACCAACTAAGATATCTTACTGCGGAGACAGTCCCCTCAAAGGCCATCATGTCCCACATACTGACTCAAGAACCAGGTTTCAGTCTTTTCCCTTCCAGATAACCCTGAGCCATTTGCACTCTTGACCCTTTCCCCATTTTCAAGGCTTCTTCAATGATGTTCAATATGTGTGATTCTACGCTCCTATGAGTAACTTCTCTGATCTTCTGGCTGGGCCCACCAAGGTTACCACTTCATAAGGTTCTTCTTGGAGTCATCATCTATCTCTGAATTTCTCATTCTCTGGTGAACTTACCCATTCTCCCATCAGGAGACTGCAGAGGGAATATCCCAAAAGAGTCCTCTAACTCAGTTTTGTTGTGTGTCACTATTTGAGCTACCCAGTTTGGAACCCTTTTTCATAGTCTTAGACTTCATCACTTTCTTTCTTGTCCCTTCCATTCTCAAGCATCGCTCAGTGTTACTCACCATAGATTTAGAGAACCCTGAGCTCCTTGCTGTTCCCTTCCTCACTGAAGGGTCTCATTGCTGGGCCTCTATTCCAAGGCCACAAATAAGGGGGTTTGCATTTAAGAATGCTGGCATGAGATTTGGAGCCAGAACCTGCACTCCACCTCTTTACACAGCTTTAGTGATCAATGGATGTTAAAAGTCCTGGCAGGAGAAGTTTCTAATCAATGTCAGAGAAATGCGGCATCCATCTCTCTTCCAGTCTCTGACTCCCATCTCTTCTAGGAAAATCCACCTCTCCATCTCTGCCCTCTGTAAACCTTCCCTTCTAAGTCCCTGTTGGCAAGCTGCCTCATCAAGTGTTTCTGAGTAACTAAAGCAAAGCTGATCTCTCTGTGAACTCCCTATGCATCTTTCTGCTTTTTGCTCCTTCCCAGCTCACCTGTGGATCCACCTTTGCTGCACTTTCATTCTGGCTTCCTGGGATGAGTCATGGCTCTCCTACCTCTTTGTATCCCTCACACCTAATATCAAGGTTTGTGCAGAGTCGGCACCCAGGAGTGACTGAGCATCTGCACACTTAGTAATGATGTTCACTTCTCTGTGTCCCTCTGGGTGATTTATTCAAAGTAACCTGCAAAACCAAGGATGGAGGACCTCAGAGACTTCTGGGGTAATTTATAGTACAGGATTTAACTTGGTTGGGCTTGAGTCTTACCCCTACCATTTACAAAATTTTTCTTTTTTTAATTTTAAGATTTTTGAAAATAAACCTCACATTTCTCTGGCTTCTCTGTGGCCCAGTTTCCTCAACTGGGTGATGAGAATCATAATAGTAAAAGCATTATGAGAACTTGATAGGTTATGTGTGGGAAGCATTTTGTGAAACTGAACTATAATGAACTCTCAAATTTTAGCTAAAAAACAATCGCACATTTCCCTGGAATTTGAGTTCAGCCACTAATTGCTTCCAGTGCTCAGCATGGTTCTAGGTTCTCACTAGAAAGTCACTATGTACTGGATTAAATTTAATGCAGCCAAGCATTTTTGCCAATTATAATAATAAGCAATTGAGGAGGAACAAAGGAGGCATAGGGAAGCAACTGAAGATGCCCAGTATTATTGAGCTGTAACGCAAATAATAAAGACCCAGAGACAGATATGAGGGTTCAGGCATCAAGCTGAAGATCAGAGAAGCAATGCAGCCAGACACTAGCTACTTACCTCTACCTCAGACTGAAAGAGTGTGGTTAGATCCATGAATCCTCAGAGAAAATTGCTCTCCCTGTCTGGAAACTACCAATATGAGACTCTTTGCTTCTTTCTTTTATATGTCTCTTTGCCCAGCCATAACACCTCTGACTCTGCCTCCCTAGTGCTAGGATTAAAGACGTGTGATCCCAAGTGCTGAGATCATCTTTGTGTGAGCTGCTTCTCTTTAGGAATGGATCAATTTCCTGTAGCTCAGTGTGTCCTTGAACTAACAGAGACCCATATGTCTGTCTTTTGAGTCCTGGGATTAAAGGTGTGTGCCACCACCACCTAATTCTATGACTAACTAGTAAGGCTGCTAGGATTAAAGATGTGTGTCACCACTGCCTGACCTTTATGGCTTGTGACTAACTTTGCATTCTGAACCCTCAGGCAAGCTTTATTAAATCATAAATAATATATCACCACAGAGGGTCTCTGGTTCCAGTCCACATGAGAGGCATCCACTGTTAATCTCATTTTCCAGATGTGGAAACCAAAACC